GTATATATATGTTCGACTTGAAAGACCTACCACGATTCAGACCCCAAATTCGGACTTCAGGGTCAGATGCCCAGGTCAAGGAAAGGCCGAGTTCGTCAAACTCAGAAAGGTCACAATCGGGTACCTCAGCAGTCTGGTCCAACAGGCACCCAACAAACAGTCACGTTTCAGGAACAAGAGTCACGTCTCATAATAAAAACCATTCAGAAGAGTCACATCCCACGAGTGAAAAGGCAGATTCACCAAGCAAGAGTCATGTCTCAAAGGTAGGAGTCACGTTTCCTAATGAAAAGTCATATTGAAGAGACGCATCCCACGAGTAAAAGGTAGAATCACAGGCAAAGGTCGTGACCCACAGGCAGGAGTCACTGTTCACAGTCAAGACTCAAAAGTCATGTTCACAAGTGAAAAGTCATGATTCAAAGGCCCAAGCAGCAGCAGTTCAATGGAAATTCGGGAAGGTTCCAGGCCTTGACATTCAGTAGCAGACAGGCTGTGGGGATGTGGTACGGGAACCAGTCAGGACCCAAGAAACAGAGGCTGGCACGAGTTGAAGTGCCCAACTGGTCAGGGCTGCCAACGGTCGCCCTCTGCAACCCCGCTATTGATTGAAAATTAATGTCATAATTGCCACTGTTGGTAGGCACCTTGATGTCCATATGCCCTGGTGCGTGTCATGCACTTGGAAGTCTGGATGTCAAGGTCGATTCGGACAATGGCAGTTGTGAGATTAGGTTCTGATGAACCGCTATCTTGGTATTTCAGGCATGATAAATGGCAATCATCTCCTTTTAGTACTTTTTACCTTTTCTCTCCTCACCTTCGCCTGTTGGACTCTGTTGTGCACTTCTCATCTTCCAATTGTGCCTCTTGCTTTCCCTGTTGATTTGTTTCCCTTCTACTTCTTCCTACTACCCTATACGGATCGTCAAAGAAGAGTTGGGCCTTCCATCATCCAGCTGTCTGGTTGCCCTCACAAAACGTCCTTGTCTACATCCACCGACTTCAGAATTATGTTTCCATCCTGTCCCTTGCCTTTCTCCATGTCACTGTACTGTGATGCTCACTCTGAACACCTGTATGGTTTTGGCAACATCATTCAGAAAGCTTCCCTTCTTAAGAGTCAGAAAGTGTATGCAATTGCTGTTATTCATGCACGGAGTTGACGAGAAGTGAGCAGGCTGAAGGAGTCCAACAGAGGGAAGGGAGTGCAAGTGATATTGTTCCATGTTAGCAGGGCCTTAGTCCACACGACTCCACAGAGCCTTTCATTATTGTCAGTTTGAGAAACAGTTTATGGTATCGTCTGCACTTCCTCCTCCTCAGACACTTTGCACATGACTCAGCTAACAATGTCGAATTTTCAAATCTCACCATATTACCCCTCTCCGCTGTACTATTGATCGCAGGTGAACCAGAGGATAGCAGATTTAGAGGTCCAACTGTCAGGGGCAAACACCCAGCGACTTGAGGCCTTTCGCGTTTTGATGGCAATGAAACTTCAAGCAGAGCAGCTGGCCATCTTCCTCGCGAACACAACCTCCTCACCAAAGAGTTCTATGTCTGACTCTGTCTTGAGAAGCACTCGAGCAAAGGCTCTAGAATTGGTAACGTTGTTTCCTTCTCAGCACTCTCCTCTTCTTCTGGAGCAGCGTAGAATGGGTTTCCTTTGGGTCTTTGACTCTGTCCAGGTTTTCCTGACTAGTGATGGCGAGAAAATAAAGTCACTTCTGGGAAGCTCTGATTAATTGAAGGAAAGTTAGGAAACTACGACAAAAACCAATGCCAGCTAAAGGCACGGAGGCAAAGGCACAAGTTTCGCCGAAAGGTCTTTGAAATCTACCTGCTGATCGATACCCCTCCTCCAAGGCAAATTGGCCCCAATTTTGCCCGAAGGGTTTCAAACCTGATCTCGATGACCTGGTGGGCTGAGATGACAGTCCATCGAAGTTAAAATAGCCAATGGAACTTCCGTCCCCCGCCCCAACGCTATCAGATGTAGAGGAGACACTGAAACTCAAAAGCACACATGTTTCAGGTTCTCTGATTTGATTTTCAAGTCAGTTCCATAGTGGGTGGGCAACACACGGAGGAGTTTGCCGGCCAACAACCTCTCATCCAATTGAACATCAAATTTCACATGCAGGATTCCAAAATATATCTACCCTGTACATCGCTCAAACGTATGGTGAATCTGCAACACGAGTGACCTCATGCTAGCTGCTTCACTGTTCCCTGTTGTGACAACTCTTCGTCATTTTCCGTTTTCTATAATGGGTTTCCTTCACCCTTGTGATACTTCCCTCAGAATAATAAAAGTCAGCTATTGGATTCATTCCATCCGGAAAGAACACAATCAGTGTTTATTATTGAATCATTTCTCACTTCTTGTTTCTTCAGTTCCCCCTCTCTGCCAGGAATCGCAGTAACTTGCATCACCCTTCATGGTAGACCCATCCATGCACGGAATCGAACTGGCGTCCTCAGCTACAAGATCCAAGTCTCGTAACCACTACAACCATGTCACGGTGTTCAAAAGTGGAACCATGCCGGTCATGATATCCACCTCACCCCTGCATGGCTGTAGTGTCCTTACACACACACTCAACAGGCACTGCCGCACCCTTGGAGCACATGGCCATCATCCTTACAACAGGGACTTTCACCCGCAGGCCAGAAAATCTGGTACAATCTCCAGGCCGGTTACCAGGTTGAGTATATAGTACGATCAGTACTACGTTTGGCGGTGGACCCATCCGTGCCATCCATTGAATCGAACCAGTGTCCGCAGCTACAAGAGCCAAGTACTGCTGTGGGGAGTGCTGTCACGGAAAGATGTGACCGTGATGCGTCTTGGTTTTGGGAGACCCAGTGAGCTCTTTCAAGTCAATAGGACTGTTGCCCCCATGGCGTGCCCCTTGGTGATTTGATTGTCTACCACTTAGAATATTCAGACCAGATCTTACCTCGTATTGCCATCCTTGGTTGGACATGACCCATACCTGCAATGTTCAGTCAAGCCCTAAGCATTCAGAGAAACAACAGCACATTCCTGAGACTATGCTTGTGTGCTATTTCTTTTTTTAAATGTAAAAAACAGGTCCTTATGGTCCTGGCACCATATACATTGGGGGGAGCGTCACTCCGGTTCCTATTCCACCGGCAAGTCAAAAGGTTAATTACATCATTCACCCACACACACATCCTTCCGTTCGGCCAAAGGACACATCCTTCCGTTCGGCCAAAGGATCGCTGACCTGCATTGGTTACTCCAGTTATTGGAGGATTAAAAATGTTCTGAAATGAACCCAGTCTCCTTGAGAAGCCAGTCAACAATGCAGTGGACGTCTGAACCCAGCCCACATCATGCAGTCTCCGAAGTCAATTGTAAGTCAATGTCTTGATCATATGCGCAATTCAGTAGACGACTGTTACGTTATGTGTAGACAACAGCTCATCAAAGGCTGACTGGAGAGTACCTTGTAGTTCTCTTAACTGTTACGTTATCTGTGTAGAGTCTGTAGACAACTCTCAGATGCTTTGGCCAGTTCTTGGCCTCCTCACCACACCGCTTGGATAGTGCATTCTTGAGTTGTCCTATGGGCCCCTGCAAGAGGAGCGTTTGCCTGGGGGTGATAGGAGGTGACGAACCGAAGTCTCACCCCTATGTAGTCTAATAGCCGTCTTTTTATATCAAATTGTTGTTTAAGTCAGTTCTTGTGTCGGCAATAAATTCCCTGATGAAGGGGTGCTGTAAGTAGGTGTCTTCCAACCAATCTGCCACTGCTTTGCCAGGCTTCTTCTTTAATGTTTTGGCCTCCACACACCCTGGCAAGTTATCCCTCATATTAAGGATATACCTCACCCCTCCTGCGCCCAATGGCATAGTTATCATGTCCAGATGCACGGTGCTACCTGGCTCAACTAGAATAGTCAGGTAGAGTGGTTCGATCATCTTCACAGCAGATCTTTTTTGACTGGCTACGCAAGCAGTATTCCTCAATCATCTTCTTCTTCCCAGGCCAATAATAGAGTCTTGAGATTTTGAAGTAGGTGGCTTCCTTCCCTCGATGACCACCCGCCCCCACCTCGTGTAAAGCAGATGTTACCTCCAACTGTCTCTCTTTCCCACAAACACCCCTGAGAGAAGGTAAGCCCCCTTTTTGCTTCAACAAAAGATGGCCCTTTTTCAATTTGAATTTCCTCCGCCTTTTTTCATCACAGTGGTCCCTCTTTGCCTCTCTTTCCATGAGTAGGCCTATAGACCTATAGCCTTAAATTCCACTTCATACTCTCTGCGAGGCACAATGCCTCGGTAAGCCCTACTGGGCCCCGATATCAGCGGGGTCGGCCGCCCTAAGTGAAGGCAGGCCCGACCTAGGCCTATTTTGGACTACTACGCAACTGAGGGGAAATTCGGGCAGTTGCGCAGCGCCAGTTGGTTGGAAGCACCCAGGCCCAGGCTGCCTTTTCTCGCATGTAACTGAGAAAGGCCCTGGGCCGAATACACAACATGGACCGAACAGAGGCTGAGGGCAGTTGGGCGCTTGTAACCACCAGAAGCCTTGGGCCTGATCTGTCTGGACTGAGGCTCAGCCTCTCGGGGCCTACCAGAAGCTTCTGGGCCGGGGCCAAGTACCGTATTACCGCACGCAGCATATAGGAAAGGGCCTGCCTCGAGATCGGGCATTCGGGCACTGGCTGCATGCTGTGCAAGCAGTGCTGCGCTAACGCTGGCCAGCGCTCACGCGCTCACTGGCGAGCAGGGAGAGGCAGGAAGCCATAGCCGAGCTGCGCTGCAGAGCTGGATGGGGCACATGCTGGTCCTTGGGTGCACGTGGCATCTGTGAGTGGGGGATCGAGGTTGTGAGTGATACGAGAGACGTACCTGGTGCTTGAGGTGAACGGCATTGGCCGAGATCTGCTCGTACTTCAGGGAGCTGTTGACGTCACCAGCGGCATTTCAGATAGGCTAGATAGGATCTGCCATTTGTAGTCTGGGGGCAGAGCGCCAGATAGGATGTCGACATTGGTTCTTTGTTGATGATGATGAGACTATTCGAACATTGTCACTTATGAGCTTTTGCTGTGCTCTTATTTGGTGGGACTCGTGTTGCAATTGTGCTTTTGGTTCGAGGTCACGACTATCTGGTCTCATGTGTATGATGCTGCTTGGTTTCTGAAGTTTGTTATCGCTCATTTTCCTCCCTACACTATAGAAATTGCTAATCCCACAGTATGTAACAAATCGCCGATCTGGGCCGTCGTCTGTCCTACCGGCCCACGGCCCAGATCTGCGGAACGATGTAACAAATCTAGGATCTGGGCCGTCAGTCCGGTAGGACCCAACGGCCTGGATCTCCACACAGTCTTAAGATCTTAAGACCGCGCCGAGATCCAGGCCATTGGGTGCTACCGGACCGAAGGCGCACATCTTAGCGCCGTAGAGTGCCGCGCGTTTTTACTGTTTCAACGGGCCGTTTCAGTCCGCGACAGTGCTGTGGGTGCCCAAGACTGTCGCGAAGCGTCCGTGCGAAGTGCCTAGGCCAACTTTCGCCAATGTCGCGTGCAGTTTTACTTGCCCCTCTAGCGCTTACGCCATGTCGTGAAGCACCCTGCGCCGTGTCGTGGAGCCCTGAGCTCGACACTCTCTCTCTCTCTCTCTCTCTCTCTCTCTCTCTCTCTCTCTCTCTCTCTCTCTCTCTCTCTCTCTCTCT